CTCGTAAGAAACGATCCCGATGTGCTTGTTTCACCCATGTTACCGATCTAACTCTTCAAATAGGAATCCTTCAGCGAATCCTTCAAACAAGCCTCAAGCCGAACCCGAAGCTCTGATACCAATTGTTGTGCGCGGCGGGAGCTTTGAGGCGACACGAACAATAACTCAAGATAAATCACAACCAATAAGTAAATCATAATCACAGCAAGAACAAACTATTTACGTGGTTCGGCAAGTTGCATACGTCCGCGGGACAAGGAGGGGGAGTTCTTACTATTAGAAATCAAGAGAATACAAATAGAGTTACAAATCTCACCGATCAAACCCTAAAACAAAACTCTAGATCTCTCACAAATCTCCCATAATTGGATACAACAATCCTCTCCAAAAGACTGCTCAAAAACGTCATTGCTTTAATCCTAACTAATCAGGATTAGAGTTATATATCAGCTTCAAAACGAACCGGGTTAAAAACCCAAAGCCCAGCCCAAACAGCCTACGGTCAACCGCGACGGTCGACCGCGCAGGTATCGCGGTCGACTGCCACGGTCGACCGAACCAATTTCCTAGAGCATAAATGTTTACAGTCATGGCGCGGTCGATCGAATTGATTCCCGAGACCAAGAATCCTACATGGTCTTTGTTGGTCGACCACGGCGGTCGACCGTCTTCAGTTCCAGCTCCTGCCTAGCCTTTGTACATGTTCGCGGTCGACCGTCGCTGACTTGCGATCGACCGCCAGTCTGCATGGCCGTTCTCCTGAGCTTCTTTCGAGCTTTTTTCGCCATTTCTTTAATTCTCCACCTCGATGAATGTTTCTACCAAAACTGAGTCGACACCAAATCATCCAAAAGTTTGGGATCCAAACTAGAGCTGAAACACGATCTCGCCCCATCAAAATCAAACCAGCTGCATCTGAAAGACTGCCTACGTATACTCTTGCCCAAGGAATCAAGCCGAACGTAGTTCATCCAAATGGCCTCCAAAGACCTCAATCCACTAGAAGAGTTCACAACCCTTCTCCAACAACACGATCAAGTCTACGGCTGATAGCACCTCCAATGCCCCCAAACTGAAACAATCCAAACATCTCCACCTGAGATGAACCAATGGCCATATCTAGACTCCATCTATCAGCTACACTTGAATCGATCAACCTATCATCTGCATCCAAATTAACATGATTCCCAATCCGTGTCACATTAGCTAGAATCCCAAATGATGCAGTATGATCTGGAGTCACCACCTAACGTGAAGTAGTATCACTCTCCACCCACTGTGATGTCCTAATGATCTGATCACCACTCTCCACCTGCCGAGAGTCAAACGTGACATACATACTCAGAACAAAATCAGAAGCCAATACCTGATAATCAAATATGCCTCTGAATCCCAAATGTGACCAAGTGCTGGGTAGCCAAATATCCGACGCAACCCAAAATCTAAAATAACTCCACCAAATCCAAAATCTCTACAAGCAGCAATCAGCAACCTATGCATAAGATGACCCAAACATGTTGTAGCCTGCACACTAATGCTAATGCTCGACATCAAACACCTATCCTTCTCTAGAAAGGAACAGCTCTCCAAATCTGCCATCTCGCCTCGTCGCCTCAAAGTTTCCACACCAATGAAGTGTCTCCTATTGTCGTGAGCTAGACACAAACGCAAGAAAGAACCCCTACCATAATCAGAATGTCGGGTTACCTTTCTACCAACACACTTCCTCCATTTGTTGTGGGCTTCTAGGACTTCACACAAACGGGACTTGGTTGCAACCCACCAATACCTAAAACAATCCCTAACTGCGGAAACTACATACCTATTACCTCCCAATGATGCTCCCTTGGAAGGCCTCCGAACGTCTGAATGAACACCCCTCAGAAGACCCCTAGAATGATGGATAGAAGTGTCAAACTCCATCTCGGTCTTCTTTCTCATACCAATGGGTTCACAGGACTTCAACCTGTAGGTCAAAACACTCCTCAATAACCTATGAATGGTATTACCAATCAAATAACCCAGTATCAAACAATGCCATGGTCTGGCTGAATCTGATAAAGTCGTCAGCTCCCTATCAATCGTCGTGCTTCTGAGCAAATAATACAAATTGCTCCTTCTGACGCCCTTCATCATAATCATGGACCCCAATGTGACCTTCAAGCGTGCGTCCACCAAGGTCACCCTATAGTCTGCTGCCTCCAAAGCTCCAAGTAAAATGATGTTCATCTTCAATTGTGGAACGAACCTTACATCATCCAACTCTCACATCATCCTGTCACTCATCCTAATCCGAACAGTACCAATACCACCAATAGAGCATGCATGTCCATTACCCATGAGCACGACATCCTCTCTTTCCAACTCTTGAAAGCTGGAGAACAAATCCCTCCTAGGGCAAACATGGTAAGAAGCACCCGAATCCAACATCCACTCCGTAGAGTCGGCATCACAAACTGATGGTAGTGCGAATAACGAATAGACTGAAGATTCCGAATCTGAATTGTTACCACTAGTCTTGACAACATCCACCTCTGAAGTTTGTACAGCTTTCCCCTTATTCTTCTCAGCTCGATCTAACTTTGGGAATTCAGCTTTTCAATGTTCATCCTCTTTACAAAAAGTATACTGATTCCTACGAATCTCATGATGTGCACCTCTAGACTGCGACCTCCTGCTTCGGTTTGAACCACGGCCTTGAACTACTAATGCATCTCCCGATGCCTTCTCGGAGGACTCATCAACACTCTTCCTCAACTTATAATTCACTAACGCTGAGGTCACCTCCTTGTAGCTAACAATAGTTCTTCCATTAATCATAGTGAGAACAAAGGTATCATAATCATCCTCAGGCAACGAACACAAAAGTAGCATCGCCTTGTCTTCATCCTCAACCATGATATCCACATTGGCCATGTTTGAAAGTAGCTTTGTGAAGTTGTTAACATGCTCTCTGATGGAAACTCCCCTCTTTATCTTGAATTGGTAAAACCTCTTCTTCAAGTGAAGCCGATTCTTAATGTTCTTAGTAAGATACTTTTCATTGAGTGTTTTCCACATCTTTTTTGTCGACGTCTCGTTCATCACATCATAAATAAGATCCGGCGTCAAGCATGACCGAATAACTCCATACGCCCTACTATTCATCTTCTTCCAAACCTTTTCTTCAATATCAGTAGGTTTCTCTTGCAACTGAAGAGTCTCTTCCAAGTTTTGAGCGTCCAATGCATCCATCACCTGGCACCTCCACAAACTAAAATTGATCTTGCCATGAAACTTCGGAACATCGATCTTCATGTTATTGATGCTCAAACTATGTATCGTCTCGTAAGAAACGATCCCGATGTGCTTGTTTCACTCATGTTATCGATCTAACTCTTCAAATAGGAATCCTTCAGCGAATCCTTCAAACAAGCCTTAAGCCAAACCCGTTGTGCGCGGCGAAAGCTTCAAGGCGACACAGACAATAACTCGAGATAAATCATAACCAATAAGTAAATCACAATCACAGCAAGAACAAACTATTTACGTGGTTTGGCAAGTTGTCTACGTCCACAGGGCAAGGAGGGGAGAGTTCTTACTATTAGAAATTAAGAGAATAAAAATAGAGTTACAAATCTCACCGATCAAACACTAAAACAAAACTTTAGATCTCTCACAAATCTCCCACAATTGGATACAGCAATCTTCTCCAAAAGACTACTAAAAAAATGTAATTTATTTAACCCTAAGTAATCAGGATTAGAGTTATATATCAGCTCCAAAACGAACTGGGTTAAAAACCCAAAGCCCAGCCCAAATAGCCTGCGGTCGACCGCGACGGTTGACTGCGTAGGTATCGGGTCGACTGCCACGGTCGACCGAACCAATTCCCGAGAGCATAAATGTTTACAGTAATGACGCGGTCGACCGTGACGGTCGACCGAATTGATTCCTGAGACCCAGAATCCTACAGGGTCTCTGTCGGTCGACCCCGGCGGTCGACCGTCTTCAGATCCAGCTCCTGCCTAGCATTTGTGCATGTTCGCAGTCGACCGCCGCTGACTCGCGATTGACCGCTAGTCTGCCTGGCCGTTTTCCTGAGATTCTTTCTAGCTTCTTTCGCCATTTCTTTAGAACAACGTTTCTCTTCTTTTGAACAAACTACGTGGATCACATACAATCTAAGAACTCTAACTCAACACTCACATTATCATCACAATGATCTGATTACATTGATACAAACTGGGTAATTGCACCGATACTGTATTCTAATGCATTGATTAAGAGCCCTGCTATTTGTCACGCGAAGATGGGCACACAACCCATCTCGCGTGAGAAGGGATAGAGGGTGGGACCCATCTTCGCGTGACAAATAGAGTTTTTGATTGATTAGTTGATAGTGGGAAGCACGTCACCATTCTCTCCTATGTAGTTTTCTATAGAAACCCCTCAATAGCAAGTTTTCTTCTTCATGAAACCATGTCAAGCCAAATCTTAGATTGCAGCAAATGTTGTACATATTGTTGTCCCAACACCACTTTCTAGCTACCAGTTATGAACATACCCCCACCTACAAACTAAACCAAACATGCAACATGCACATCACTGATACTCAAAACCATCCAACATTGCAAAATTGTTAACAGCTACCTCAATAATTTGAATTTTCACTTCAAAATATTATTAATCTGAAAACATCCGTGCACAAGAATAACTTCAAGAATTTCCTGCAAAACTCTCATGTGCTTTTCATCTTAAAGAGGTTTCAGATCCATATGTTAGTTGGAGTCCAATAAATATGAAACAAATTTGGTCAAAGTTAGTAGTTAGTTGAGCCAATGGTAACACCATAAACTGGGGTAGTAGCTAAAGTGTGAAGGTAAAGCAACAATTTTGTAGATAACTTTCACATTAAGCTAGTGAGATTCTGTAATTCCCTAGCATGTCATAGCCGTATTGATGGTAAAACTTTATTTTATTTTATTTTCTAATGTTGCATAGCATCAGTTAAAGTGATGTCCACATATGTGATCAAAAGATACAAAAATTGGACAGCTCAAGGATATTTAGTAGTCTTGAACTTGATCTCTGATCCACTTTGCTGCAACCCATTTTTCCCCTTTGATCACTGGACAACTCCCATGAAGCGATCTCTGTATCGAAAGAATTAACAATGCTCAATATGATGTATTGCAGAAAGATAAGGGTTTCTCGTCTGAAAATTGCATTTTATTAAAATAAATACATGCATCTATGGTGTTCATTAAGGAAAAGCTAGCTAGGTAAAACCTAGTCCTCAATGGTGAAGTGATGAGCTTGGGTTATGGAAAGTTTATAGTTCAAAACTTCTCTAAATCTTTACGGATGGTGTTTCAGTTTATGAGAGTTTCCTTAGTGGTGAGTGATGCGATATGACCTTTGCTTAGGTGTGGAGCACAAATAGGGTTAGGTTTTATAGAGGTCACAGCTTCAAGTCTTTATTTATAGCCTTTGTTTGGAGAAAGACGCGCACACACACAGAGGAATAAAAAGCATAATCATTTAGAAGTATTATGTTAAAAGCATGTGTAGAATATATACCATACCTCCACCCATACAACTATTGTTTACTTGGAACCACTCGTTTAGTCAAATATATTTGTAGAACATATTCTTGTTGAGGGAGTTAAAAGTTATGAAATTTCAAGTTGGGTACAAAGTACTAATTTAGTTTGTCAAAATACATAACATAACAGGTTTTAGAGAGCGAGAGAATACAGATGAAGAAAATCTTAACACTTAAAATAAGTGTTTAAGGATGTAGGTCTCTAGAAAATGTCTTACTTGGATATTAGCCTCTCACAAACTGTAACATGAGTTCCTAACCAGTTATGGTTCACCTGGTACAAGTCACCTTAGTTAAAAAGCATCTCTAAAGGAAAGAAACAGTCAATTATTCTCTAATTATCACTAGTAGTTTTACGTTAATACCTCCTCCTTTCTCCATTTTGATCAACCTAGCAATCGCTGTAGAACCCTTTCTCTTCACTGTCTCCCTCTCGAAAACATCCCTTTCTTTCCATTTCATATCTTCTACCCTTACATAACCCACAACCATAGCCGCCATTGATCCATCAAATCAAAAGGGGGCAGAAAAAGGATATATGATCCCCCTTTTATCTCAAATCAAAGGGTTCAACAGATGCTCCAGTCGCGTTGAGTTGCTCGGGATAACTCAAAGCAAGATATGTTCATTTGCAGTTTAATTATCTTCAGTTGGTTGACACGAAAGATCGACTCATGACGCAAATTTTTTACCTTTTTCTTTTTGCTACATTTGTTTATCCAGTGCCATTTGTCTAGGGCCATCAGCTCTCTGGTACACGCAGATAAGTTTGATATTTCTCTGTTTACAACCGAACTCATTCCGCTATCTCCTCAGCTCCTTCCCTTTCTCCATCTCTCCAAGACCACCCAACTCAACACTATTATCCCTCTCCGTCCAAGTTCCCTATTACAATTGATCTCTGTCCACACTTGGAACCAATCTCAACCTGATAAGAACAAATATTGCCTCCTCACCTTTCCAGTTCTATCTACAAAATTGTAAGGGTTAATTGCAGATACACCCTGTGTACTATGAGCATGTAGCCACTTATACCCCACAATTAGCACCTAAATCTACTGAAACCCGGCTAACAGTAATTTAAGGTTAGGTTGCGATATGAAAATCATGATGATCATTACTTTTGTACCCTCAACTGAGAGGGCATTTTAGTTCTTCTTAGTTAAGTTGGAGGCCAAGAAATAATTTCCCGCCACGTGATTCCCATGTGGTAGCTCAACCTAACTGGGAAATACATCTAGAGTTCAGGGGATATGAGTGTTAAAAAAACAGTTTAGGGGGTATCAGGGAGTACTGGGCGTGAATCCAATTAACCCAAAGTGAAGGGGTTAGTGGATATATAGTTTTACGTAGGGAATTAAAGTAGGGATACAATAAGGTGGCATCGACAATCTTGATTAATCTTCATGGTTACGTATTAGATTTGGACAGAGAAAGAGAAAGGAAGGATTCATATCAAGTAGGTATCATATTGTTAGTGATAGCTATATCTGCATTTTTGGATGCCTAATAGCCGAATAGAAAATTTGGTAGGGACTAATATGCTAAAACTCCCAAAAAGGATGACCTTAAAATCAAGAAAGGGAATCGACCTTTCATAAAACGTAGCAAAAAGACCTTCATATGTAGTCATTAACTCAATAAAACATATTTCCCTTCTTTGCTATACAAAGGTCATAATCCTGCTCGAACCTTGACCTCCCATAACCCAATTCTGAGCCAGTCTCAACGGTCACTGTAGCCCATTAGTTTGTGATAATAATATGAGTAAAAAGGATATCTACTCCGAGCAAACTTTAAGGTAGTACAAAATATGTATGTATGTGTAGGATCTAGTTGTGCCCTTTGGGAACCGTGGAAAAAGGGCCATTGCAGCCACTTAGTTTATAAAAATAATAATAAGAGAATAGAGGATTTCACGTTCAAAGCAATAGAACGACATTGCCATTTGAATTCAGTAAGTAAAATACTTTACCAATTGTGCCATAAAAAATTCAGGTAATATATAAAGAGATGGACATACTTTATCAATTGTACCATTAGTAAACAGTGAGTAAAATAGAAGAGCATCGCCTCGTCTTGGCTTCACTTTCAAACCAATGCATTTCCGATAATCATAACCAATATTCATGTTCAAACCATTCTGCAAACACAAGAGCGATCCTTAATATGTATCATATAATAAGCTTGGTTTAAGGTTTTTCTAACTTATTAATTACCTCAAATGGAAATATAGTTTCTCCTCCTTCCTCAACATCTGATAAATACAACAAGAAAGTTGCCATCTATAAACATGACAGAACTATATTTATTACCTGAAATTATGATACATATAGCAGTAGAATTGGAACCAACGACAGAAAGAAATCATAACATGCTTCAATGAATTTAAATGCAGCTTCTTCATAAGCAAAGCATGCTATATTTTTAGCTCATATCATTTATATCGCAAGCACATTATTCTCCTAATATCATGTGATTCGTTATTTGGCTGTGATTCATTTGACATGTCGAAATGGAGTTTGTGGAAGCAACTGATGATTCTTAAAAGAAGACATATGATGAGATAGGTATGTACCCTTTGGCTCTCTTGTGGGCCATATTCCGCTGGACTAAATGCATCATAATGAGAAGCATAACTTTGTCCAATTTCATAGCGGAGAATGTTGAATTCCTGTAACAGTACAATGTTGTTGATTATTATCAATAATTCAAGAATACAACAGGATAAATCCAGCAAAAGAAGGAGACGTTATGATGAATACATTAAAATCAAGAAATATTCCACATAAAGTGAAGAATAAATAATATAAATAGGAAAAAATGTTAGAGACTGTGTGAGCTATATGGAAAGGCACCGTCCTTGGTAGTCTACGTGCAGCTAGGAACTAACATATTAAACTTGGTGTTCCACCTTTGCAAACACCAAATGTTTGAGGATTGTACAATATCACATCCTATGATAGCCTTGAATTGTATCATAAGTTAATTACCAGATCAGAACAAGCCGCAGACAATAAGACTTATGGTGGAAAAACAATAGGTAGAAGATAATGTAGTATCTTACTTTAGTCTATTAACTCAGAAGAAGTGACCATCTATAAGAGCCTATATGCAAAATTTACAACAACCAATAACTCGTGTAAGCACTTTTAATAGACAAGAAATGCAAAAACACAAACTAAACTTATGAAGGCAAACAATTTTAGGGTATATCCATCTTTAAAGGTCTAAGTAAAGAGCTACATTGATTTATGACTTATAAGATTGCCATAATCATACCATATGTACTGAAAGTATCTTGACTAATACTCTCCAAAACTTTCAGGTCCAATATCACTGCATTTCAATTTATCACTAGATTCGGTTCCACCATAACATACAAGAAAGCAAATAATGTTGCGTTTAGGTTATACATAGATTTTAGTAATGGACAAAAATGCTTGAGCACTATAATTCTAATAATCATTAGTAAAATAAGGAATCATTCTGCTAATCTGAATTTCCTTATGAGTTATGATTCTACCTCTCCGTAGTTCTTCAAAATAAATAGTAGTAACATATATAAGGAATCATTTTCCTAATGAGAATTTGCTTACGACTCTACCTCTCCATGGGCTCTTGGAATCATTGTAGCCCTCGCCATCTTTTGCTCAATCTGATCCAGTATTCCAGTTGGGTCTTCAGATGAATGGATATAGGTACCTGTACTGATGTCAGAAGCCAAAAGTGAGAAAGTTTAGTCAATAGCATCGTGAGGAATTCTGCTGAATAACCTAACAAACAGAATATACAGCATCCAGAAGTAGGGACGGAATGGCCAGACTCAGGCCAGACTCATATGCCCGAGCCAGTTTAGTTTCAAGTCCAAGTCTAAACCAGGCTTATTTTACATATCGAGCCCATATTTGAGGGCCAAGAATAGATAAACAAGTAGTATATTTATTAAGTAACTCAAATCTCCACAGATGTGAGATAAGGATTAACTATGTAAGGGAATCCATACATATAGCAATAGGTGTTAGGCGCCTAATGAAGCCAAGCACCAACCCACCCAGCAGCCAATGTTGAAAAGGAAAAAAGAAAACAAAATGGTGAGGCTCACTGCTACAGTAAAATATTAATATTTTATTGTGCATAGTGTTTTTCAAAAAACTATAAATAGGGCTCCAAATCCTTAAGGAAATCTCATCCCAGAAACTTCTTCTTATATAGAAGTGTGTGAGAGAAAAAATAGAGAGAGTATCTTCTTAGAAAGAGAGATTGTAACTCTAGAGTTTTCTCCTCATAGTGAATTCTTCTATCCTTGCCCGTGGACGTAGGCAATCAAGTGCCGAACCACGTAAATCTGTGTGTCCAATATTTTATCTCTACTTTTGCTCTACTATTGCTGCGACCCTGCTCTATTGGGCCCCGGGTTTGTCCCAACAAGTGGTATCAGAGCCAACTTAGAGTACTTGTATATATCTACTTATCGTATGCTCTGTGGCTGCCACCAAAGGTGGATCCTCCACATCAGAAAATAAGTTAGGTTATCACTTACCCTTTGGAGGTGACGGGTACTATTCACGAGTACGGTACTCTTCACAAATACAGTACTATTCATAAGTACGGTACTATTCACGGGTACGGTTACTGTTCATAAATACAGTACTATTTACGTGAAATAGTAAGAAGTTACTGTTTGTGGTAGAAGCAATGACGGCGAAGTTCAATATTGAGAAATTCGACGGGAGTAATTTCTCACTGTGGAAGTTGAAGATAAAAGCTATCTTGAAAAAAGATAATTGCTTAGCGGCCATTGGTGCAAGGCTGGACGACATCACAGATGATAAGAAGTGGAACGAGATGGACGAAAATGCTATTGCAAATCTCTATCTGGCATTAGCAGACGGGGTGCTGTCAAGCATAGAGGAGAAGAAGACAGCAAAGGAGATCTGGGATACTCTAACAAAGCTATATGAGGCGAAATCCATGCACAATAAAATCTTCTTAAAAAGGAGACTTTACACTCTGAGGATGGCGGAATCTACATCGATGACCGACCACATCAACACCCTAAACACACTGTTCTCCCAACTCACAACGTTGGGATATACAGTTGGTGCGAAAGAACGTGCATAACTTCTACTTCAGAGTCTACCTGACTCGTATGATCAACTCATCATCAACCTGACGAACAACGTCCTCACGGACAATCTAGTCTTCGACGATGTTGCAGCCGCTATTCTGGAGGAAGAAAATCGGCGCAAGAACAAGGAAGACAGGCAGACAAGTTCGCAGCAAGCGGAGGCCTTATCGGTGACGAGAGGAAGATCAACAGAACGTGGCTCCAGTGGGAGTCATGCCCATGGTAGATCGAAATCACGAAGTAAGAAGAATATCAAATGCTACAACTGTGGCAAAAGAGGGCACATCAAATCAAAGTGTTGGCACAACAAGAAGAGTGGAGATAAAAAGTCTTCAGAGCCATCAACATCTCAAGGATGCGTTGTCAGCACGTCAGAGGATGGTGAAATTCTATTCAGTGGAGCAACCACTGTTGATGAAGGCAGAAAAAAGTTTGCTGATGTCTGGCTTCTAGATTCAGCAGCCTCTTGGCACATGACCTCTCGGAGAGATTGGTTTCACAAATATGAACCTATCTCAGGAGGATCTGTATTCATGGGGAATGATCATGCCTTGGAGATTTGTGGTATTGGTACTATCAAAATTAAAATGTTTGATGGTATAATATGCACCATTCAAGATGTGCGACATGTGAAGGGCTTGAAGAAGAATCTATTGTCTTTGGGACAATTAGATGAGCTCGGGTGCAAGACTCATATAGAAAATGGAGTCATGAAGATTGTTAGAGGGGCGCTTGTGGTGATAAAATGAGAAAAGATAACTGCAAATCTGTACATGCTCAAGGGAGAGACTCTGCAGGAAGCTGATTCATGTGTGGCATCAACCAGCCGTGGAGAAGAACAATCCATGATGTGGCATCGCAAGCTAGGCCACATGTCAGAACGAGGCTTGAAGGTTCTCTCCGATCAGAAACTGCTTCCTGGACTTAATTCGGTAGCTCTTCCATTTTGCGAGCATTGTGTTACAAGCAAGCAGCATCGACTGAAGTTCAACACATCGAGTTCTAGAAGCAAGGCTATTCTGGAACTGGTTCATTCTGATGTATGGCAAGCACCAGTTACATCCTTAGGAGGAGCAAAGTACTTTGTGTCCTTTATTGATGATTACTCCAGGAGATGTTGGGTGTATCCTATCAAGAAGAAGGCGGATGTGTTCTTAGTCTTTAAAGCCTACAAAGCGCGGGTCGAGCTTGAATCTGAAAAGAAGATCAAGTGTTTGAGGTCAGATAATGGAGGAGAATACACAGACGGTGAATTCCTAGCATTCTGCAAGCATGAAGGCATCAAAAGACAATTCAGTACGGCTTATACTCCTCAACAAAATGGAGTGGCGGAGGGGATGAACAGAACTCTGTTGGAAAGAACAAGAGCTATGTTGGCAACTGCAAATCTGGAAAAAGTCTTTTGGACGGAAGCAGTAAAAACCGCCTGTTATGTGGTGAATCGATCTCCATCAACTGCAATACAATTGAAGACGCCGATGGAGATGTGGACTGGCAAGCTAGTTGATTATTCCAACCTCCATATATTTGGAAGTCCAGTGTACGTAATGTATAATGCCCAAGAAATTACAAAGCTGGATTCAAAATCCAGAAAATACATATTCTTAGGGTATGCTGATGGAGTAAAGGGGTATCGCCTGTGGGATCCCACTACCCGTAAGGTTATCATCAGCAGAGATGTTATCTTTATAGAGAACCAACTACAAAGTGAAGAGAAAGAAAGCAGTTCAAAGAAGGACTCAGAGACTGTAGCTGTTTAGGTAGAAGATGATCCGAACTCTTCTGAAGCAACACCGGAGCATGATGTACAAGAACCAGTCGAGTCCGAGGCTCCAGAAGTTTGTTGCATACTGTCTTCTAATAGAAGATGAAGAGCCATCAACTTTTCATGAAGCTATAAATGGCACAGATGCATCTTTGTGAATGGCAGCAATGCATGAAGAAATTGAAGCTCTCCATAAGAACAAGACTTGGGAACTTGTGTCATTGCCACAAGGAAGAAAGACCATTGGAAACAAATGGGTCTACAAGATCAAGCGAAACGACGATGATCAGGTGGAGCGATATCGTGCTAGATTGGTGGTAAAAGGATATGCTCAGAAAGAATGTATTGATTTTAATAAAATATTTTCTCCTGTAGTTCGACTAGCAACAGTCCGAATAGTCCTCGCTATGAGCGCTATATTTGACTTACATCTAGAGCAGCTAGATGTGAAAACAGCATTTCCTCATGGAGATCTTGAAGAAGAAATTTACATGCTCCAACCAGAAGGTTTTGAAGAAAAAGAAAAAGAGAACTTGGTTTGCAGATTGAACAAATCTCTGTACGGTCTAAAGCAGGCGCCGAGGTGTTGGTACAAGAGATTTGATTCATTCATCATGAGCCTTGGATACAACAGACTTAATTCAGACCCTTGTGCATATTTCAAGAGGTTTGGTGAAAATAACTTTGTTATCTTATTGTTGTATGTTGACGACATGTTGGTTGCAGGCCCCAACAAAGATCGTATCCAAGAATTAAAGGCTCAGTTGGCTAGGGAATTTGAAATGAAGGATTTAGGATCTGCAAACAAGATTCTAGGGATGCAAATTTACCGAGACAGAATTAATAGGAAGATTTGGCTTTCTCAGAAGAACTATTTGAAGAAAATCTTGCGACGCTTTAACATGCAAGATTGTAAGTCAATTTCTACCCCACTTCCTGTTAATTTCAAGTTATCCTCCAGTATGAGTCCTAGCAGTGAAGAAGAGAGGATGGAGATGTCTCGAGTGCCGTATGCATCAGCAGTGGGAAGCTTAATGTTCGCGATGATTTGTACAAGACCAGACATTGCACAAGCAGTGGGAGTGGTTAGTCGATACATGGCGAATCCTGGTAAAGAGCATTGGAATGCTGTAAAGAGGGTTCTAAGATACATTCAAGGAACCTCAAATGTTGCATTATGTTATGGAGGATCTGATTTTATTGTCAGTGGATATGTTGATTCTGATTATGCAGGTGATCGTGATAATAGCAAATCCACCACAGGCTATGTGTTTGCACTTGCTGGCGGAGCTGTAAACTGGGTTTCAAAACTGCAGTCAGTTGTGGCTACTTCAACAACAGAAGTAGAGTATGTAGCAGCTACACCAGCTAGTAAAGAAGCGATGTGGTTGAAGATGGTGCTGGAGGAACTTGGCTATGAACAAAAGAAGATTTCTCTATTTTGTGACAGTCAGAGTGCTTTGCATTTGGCAAGAAATCCAGCCTTTCATTCAAAGACCAAGCACATTCGAGTTCAGTATCACTTCGTTCGTGAGAAAGTGGAAGAAGAAACAGTGGATATGCAGAAAATTCACACCAAGGACAACCTAACAGATTTTTTTAACAAAAGCAGTCCATACCGACAAATTTACTTGGTGTCGATCCTCTTGTGGTCTGTCAGAGACGTAAGCAACATGAAGATGGCAAGATAGAAAGAATGGTGTGAAGATATGATTGATATTCAATCAAATCTTCAAGTGGGAGATTGTTAGGCGCCTAATGAAGCCAAGCACCAACCCACCCAGCAGCCAATGTTGAAAAGGAAAAAAGAAAACAAAATGGTGGGGCTCACTGCTACAGTAAAATATTAATATTTTATTGTGCATAGTGTTTTTCAAAAAACTATAAATAGGGCTCCAAATCCTTAAGGAAATCTCATCCCAGAAACTTCTTCTTATATAGAAGTGTGTGAGAGAAAAAATAGAGAGAGTATCTTCTTAGAAAGAGAGATTGTAACTCCAGAGTTTTCTCCTCATAGTGAATTCTTCTATCCTTGCCCGTGGACGTAGGCAATCAAGTGCCGAACCACGTAAATCTGTGTGTCCAATATTTTATCTCTACTTTTGCTCTACTATTGCTGCGACCCTGCTTTATTGGGCCCCGGGTTTGTCCCAACAATAGGAACAACCTAGATATCTTTTTTAGTATTCATTTCAAATATATGCTATTTATAAACATATAGCTTGGATAAAAAATGAGCAGTTGTAAGAAGCTAAACATAAAGGAAAGGTGAACAAGACTTTGGACGATACTACTTAGGAATTGTATTCTCATAGTCGAAGAATTGCAAAAACTAAGGTAGGCCAACGGAGTCTGAATTAAAGCTGTTAGAAAAAAACATGCTAAATACTAATTTCCATCAAGGAGACACTTCAAACTATAGCTGAATGGATTAAGAAAAGGGTTGTGCGGCCAATTGTAAATATATACGTGGTAAAGGTTTTTGTTGTTGCTTTAGTTGTCTTAGGCCTCACTCTCTTCAAATCTTCAATTTTAAAACTAAATGCACCACGAATTTGTGAGGTTAGATTTATATCCCTGGCTAAATGTGAATGTGCAGCCTTTAATTTATATAAAAGCTTTTATGAGGGTATTCAAAAGCAATGAAAAGTGAATGAATGAGCAAAGAGATAAACTCATCACTGCCAACATGATTGAATTAAATTCCTCATTCTTCTAAGAAAGCAAAATAAAAAAAAAAAAAACCTTTC